GTAGATTCATACTTGATAATGATAGAGGGTATATATGATCTTGTTTATATATATATGTATATCGCTTAGACTAGGGCTGCATAGGAAGCTTCAAATTTGATTTGTTTATATTCAAATTTAAACATGATCTTATCCATTGGATCTTTGTGTTGGATTCAATTGAATTCCCATTGCAATTGGATATTGAATAGTATAAATAATTTAAATTAAAATGAACAAAATATTATATTATATTAATAAAATGAATTAACACATTGAAATCAATTTAATTAATAGATACAACATTAAGGTATATATGAACACATGCATATATTAATTTGAATCGAAATGGATTATATAAAATCAGATCCATATTCGATATACCCAATTATACACATTATACACGGATAAAATTCGGACGTAATCAACCATGCACCTTGGTTTAGAAATACCTTTTATGTTTTAGTTGTATTTCTAGGTTAGAAGATAGGCTCTTCCAGACAAAGTAATAGTCAAGACATTTATTCTTTCTAGCTGGCATCATCTTGTCTTCTGAAGGCCCTCAAGATTAGTGCTAACACTTTTAAATATTATGGACAACTATATTAATAGTAAGGTTACATTATTTTATCTAACCGATTAAGGGTTCGTTTGGTTAGTTTGTAGTTGGAATCAGAATTGGAATAATTTATTCCTATAGTCTGTTTGATTCAGTCATGAATTGAAATGGAAGTTGAATTTAGCTAGAATGAGATTTCATTCTCAAGGGAGGGGGACCCTCAAATAGGGAAATACCAATCCACCAGGAATGGGAATGGGATTTCGATTCCCCCCAATCAAACAGTTGAATCCGATTCCAGACCCCTATTCCCGCAAATCAGGCGGGACCTAAATCTAGATAAATATCAATTATCAATTGATATCAATTAGGATTATATTATAATTAAGAATTTAAGAGTTTGCATTGAAAGTATATGAATAATGAAAGCTAACCAATTTAATCCTTTCTGAATGACAACTGATCTAAATTAGTTTTACATAATCTTCTTTTATCAGGCTAACAGTTAAACGTAATCTTATTTGATAATAATTGGCACTTCATTGACATCATATATTTTATCCTCAGAACAATCTGATTATCTCAAAAATATCCTGTTCTTGTACACCTTTTCACAAAACAACTTGTTATTCTTCAAAAAAATTGATTATCTCAAGTAGTTAACATTGACAATTCATGGCAACAATCATGCTTCCATATGGACATTCAATAGAAGTTGGATATGCTGATTGTACTTGACTACTTGTGCTTTTCTCTATGCTCGAGACAGCGAATTATAATTGATTAGCTAGGCAAGTTTCCTCACATCTTATATATGTAGTGAAGTTCCTCAAGGATATGCAACTTCATATTGTACAAAGCATTATCAAGTCAGTGTCCCGTCCCGTTAGTGCAACGCCTTTGTCTCATAGCCTATTGGTTATTTGTAGATTACTAAAACCAAAATGCCTCAGGGATGGAGTAGATTTTGGAGTTATTCCTTTTTTTTTTGTGACCTCAAAAGTTTATTGACTGAACTTCATCTTTGTGATAACATAGACTTTAATCACATCTTGTAAAGTTCAAATTGAATCATTATTGTTAGTGAATGCATAGTGTAGGTGATCAGTTGCCATCCTTCTCTGTTAGGAGGTGTGCGTTCAAATCCAAGGAAAGGCAGGTTTTCTGCCTTAATTAAGATTGCTGGTTGGCTTTCTATACATCTTACATGCTTCCCTATTACCCTAGCCCCACTAACCCATTAACAAGGTCAAGTCTATAACACCTTTTTTGAAAGTCCATAGGTTGATTTCATTCAATAATTCATCTCTGAATACAATCATCAGTAAAAGGAGAGCTCAAAAAACTCACGAATAACAGTCCAACTTTGGGAGCCAAAGCCTATAGCACCTTCCCCATATAGGGGCCAAAGGCCAGAGCAACATTATCACAAAGAAGAGGCCAAAGGCCAGAGCAACATTGTCACAAAGAAGAAATCATTATTTAGTTATATACAATGAGCCCGAATCTCCTGCAAGCAAGAACCATGTTCACATTAACATCCAGCCATACATTGGGAATATCTTTCATATAAGTATATTAAATTCATGGAAACCAACTTCAAGCAGTTTGCTGAGACCAACTTCCCTAGGATCTTTTTCTAAGAACTATAGGCCCACAAAAATGCATATTCCTTTGGGTAAATTTTTGGGCCACTTCTGGCTTCTTAGGCTGCGTTTGGTTTGAAGGAAAAGGTAGGAAAACCTTTACAAACTTTGTATAGATTTCCCTAGTTTTCCCTTCCTTTCCCTGTATTTTCCTTTAAACTAAACATAGCTTTAAGGTAAGTGTTTCCCTTCTCCCAGGTGGATAAGTCACTTTCCTATAGAGGGAGGAAGCTATTCAAATTATTGTGGAACTAAAATGTCACTACCAACACACAAAACTCAATACACATAGGTAAAAGTGGTAATGGAGAAAAAACAACCAGGTAAATTTTTTGACATAGAAGCTTCTATCTCTATCAATGTACTTATAACTCAAATCTGACAAATGATACATTAAAATAGTTTCAAATAGAAGGTTGACTAAATGAAAGACTCAAATAAGAAAAACAAATGAATCCCAAAAACACTGCAATTAGATGCTTGTTAGGGTTGCAAAACTTGGCCTCATCGGTTACCCTGAATCCAATCCAACAAAGTTGGGTTGAAAAGTTTGAACCTGACTTAACTTTGGGTTGGGTTAGGGTTGAGGCCTGGGCCAACTTGTCCCAACCCAAACCCAACCTAACTTCATATTTGTATGTATAAATGTTATATAAACATTTATTTTTTTTTTGTATATATAATGCTTAAGAAATAGAAATGATTAATTGGTAAAAGGAAATAGAAAAATCAGGCCAACCTGAGCCCAATCCAAACCCAATCCTATGGTTGGAGTTGGGGGTTCCACAGATTGGGTTGGATTAGGGTTGATCTCAACCTGACCTAACCCAGCTCTTTGCATCCCTGATGTTTGTTGCAGTAACTCAACCGCTAATATGCCAACTCATATATCCTTTGGTTTGTCGCAACCCTAAAACCAACTAATTAGTTGCAACAAGCAATTACTATTTCCATGGTAATGATTACCAATTGGTGGTCACAAGCACCATTGGTGCATTTAGGATTGTGTGAATTGAAATTTCACATGGAAATTCAAATGCATATAAATTGGAATAAATATGTATTAGAACATATATGGATTAAAATTCTACTTTTTGGATGATACATGAGAATTGATTCACTTGGTCGAGCAAAATTCAGAGTACTCGTGAAAAAGTTCCAACAAAAGAATTGATTTGATATATTTTAGCAAATAGGGCTCTATATAAACTAATTAATTAAGTTTTAAGAACAACAACTACTACTACTACAGTTATTATTCAAATAGATGTTTTCAAGAAAATTAAATTTGTAATACTGTTATATTTTATCATATATCTTCTATAAAATGGCTAAAATTAAGTTTCATTAAATAATTATTCTTAAAAATTTTATGCAATTGTGTTTGTAAAATTTCATTTATTTATTTATTTATTATTACATTGCATGATGCCACAAAAAAAAATAATAATTTCTAAAGATTTTATTTTAACTATTTTATGTTTAAAGATGAAAGGATGTTTGGCCTATTTATCTCATTATAATATATTTACTAAGTCATATGATGATATGAGCCAAACCATCATAAAATGCTATGCACAAAAGAGTTAATTTTATGGATAAAAGTAATTTATTATTAATTATTTGATTTTGTACTTCTACTTTTAACTACACTTTTATATGCTTTATTTTTTATTTTTGATTACTTATATTTCTTACATTTTTATTATTTTAGTTATCATAAGATTCATAACATCAGATCTAATGTTTTGGGTTAGTTATTCGAAAAAGCAGGGAGTCTGTCATTGTTGGGTTAGTCCATTTATCGCCTAATTCTTATGGATATTAATCCAAAAGACACCCTTCCGGTCGAAGGTTTGAATTACCGCAAATGTGCTAATTAAAATACCATGAATGTTCTAATTCACACGCCCAAATACCTAACCTAGCTAAGATATAAGTATTCCAACTCACACCCCAGCCCTTAGTTCTCAGTGTCCAAATACAACAAAATTGCACCACAAAAACGTATGTATGTATGCTGTATGCATGCTTGTAGTGGGGCCATGGAACGATGGAATTCTTTCTAGTTCTAGGCTTGAACCTAAAAGACCTATTATTACAGGAAGAGACAAAGAAAAGAAAATCCCTTGATGAAAGGCTAAAACCACCGGCACAGCGGATTTTTTCCTCCAACAGTGCTTGAACCCAAGAGGGAGTTGATCAACTGTGAGGATTTTAGCTTTTAGAAGGGAAATTCTATGAGTACTGTAATATAAAACATTCTGGTGGAATTTCTTAAACTTCCTCACCGTTACTGATTTGGCTGCATGATTTGAGTCTGTTGAAACAAGCCAAGAACTCTTAGTGTGTCGTCACCATTACTTTATGGGGTTTAATTCAGGACTTGGAAAGAGATAGGGGAAATAGAAAACCTGGACCTCAAACATATTGAACGCTGAAATAAATGCTTACCCGCCTAAAAGAATAAGAGAAAACAAATGAATTTACAACTTCTATGTTTTTTGTATTATTTTTTTTGGTAATATATGTTTTTTGTATTATAGAGGTAATTGTCTTTAGCATTGGTTAGAAAATAGCTAGAAAGGTTTTTTGTTCATCTCAAGAAAGAATTAGTAATGGAACAAGGGAACATCACCGTTATTCTCTAAGTCTATTTCAAATATTGTGCTTGCTTCTTTCACGAAATTAAAAGATACCCAAATGAGAATGAGAGAGAGAGAGAGAGAGAGAGAGCGCTAGATTCCAGATATTAGTAAAAGAAAAGAGGGGAAAATCTTTGTCATGCAAAACGAACTCGAAATGCAAAAAGGATTGGAAACTTTTAGTTGATATCTAACTTCTTGTTCGTCTGCACCACTCATCTCCCACCTCTAGTTTCCCTTTCACACACATACACACAGAAACCAAGCACAAAGCCAAAGTAGCTGAGGGTATATATGAGCTCAAAAGCTGCCTTCAACCTGTTAAATTGATTAGGAAGGAAAAAAAAGGGCTCCTCTTTCTTGCATGACCCCATTTGTCAGTTGTTTTGGTTTATCTTTGAGAATGGCGTGTCACTGCAGGTCTTAGAACTTCCGCTTTCATTCAATCTTATAACCCATCTTGAAACTGATTGGTCGAACAAAGATCCAGACGTTGCTGCGTTCCTGCATAGCTACCATCCCAATTCAGTCCATCCTCCTGATTCCGCTGTGACCCGTCTCCTCCACCACCCGATGCTGACAACCCCATCTCACGGACATTTCCATCCTCCGGCGGGAACCCATGTCCCAGAGGAGACCCAATGCAAGTGTAGTTTGATTCCGCCGAGCCCAGCACGTAGTCCTGATTCGAGTGTGGGTGAGAGTTGCCAGCAAGGACGTTGCCGACAAAGTAATCGTTCACTGGGTGAGGAGTGTACTGAGCGGGGACTGGAAGTGATGAAACAACGCGAGAAGTCGATGCGTAAAGGTAAGGCTGAGGTGGTGGTACTGGTGATAAAATTGTTGATGAAGAACCCGGAAAAAATCTTGACGGCGGGTAAACTGGTCTGTATGGTAGAGATGGATCTCCCATGTTGCCACATTGGTGAAAGTTCGCTGCTGGTGTTGGGATGAATTGGCCGCCGCTGCCCCCGAGGTTCAGATCTCTCAACCTGTATATCTAAACTCAGTACAAGGAAAAGTTTGGAAAGTGAATATAAAGTGAAGATATTGGAGAAGAAAAAGAGGGTGAAGAAGGTTCAAACTTTGATGACTGTAACTCACGGTTTGGTTGATGACCATTTTCTTCTCTGTTCACTACACAAGTGATAAAATCAAGAAACAGTAGGATACCTTCTTTTTTTGCCAAATCTGTATATGCCTCATCTTAACTTATTTGTTTAGGTTTTTATATTTTTCTAGTAAGAATTCATTAAAAAATTATTGACACTTGCTGAGCAGAGGAAGAAAAAGGTGGACAAAACATAAGTTAGTGTGTTATGTGGTTCCGTTACATACCCTAAATGAGGGACCCCCTGTGCTGCTAAGTTTTCGTTACTGAAGACCAGCTGACGAGCTCGGTTCAGGGTCTCTGTCTCCCTCTCTGAACTCACAAAGATCAAATCAAATCAAATCAGACCCAAGCCCAGAAAGAATTTCAGCTTCAATAACAAATTTGCTTAGAAAAGAGGGGAAATTAAAACGAGATTTTTTCTTTTCAATTCAAACTGTGCTTTCTTCAATTCAAATCAGTAATGCTAAGAACTTCCATTTACACAGTGGTTTCTTCTCTATGTAGTAGCTTTTGTGGATGGGAAATTGATTTATGTATTTTTGTCAATATATATCACCGGAAATTTTTCATGCATAATGAACACCTGTGATGATTAATTTTTAATTGTGGCATTAAATGAACTTGCCTTGGCGATGGCGATTCATGTGTCCACCAAGAGCTTGAGACTTGCAGAACTTGAGGGAGCAAAACCTACACTCGTAGACCTTCCCGTACTCATCTTTTCCGTCCTTTCCACCACTTTTCTTTCTCCTACAACCTACACACAAGGCAAATAAAGCAACTTCTGTGAGACATTTCGTGAACGAGCAAAACCTTCCCTGCTCCTACATATCATGAATAAAACTGAAAATAAACATAATAATAACTGTTATCTTCTGAAATATTAGCAGTGGTGGTGAAATAAACCCAGAATCTCTCCTTTTCTTGTTTCATTCAACTAATCCTTCTTGTTGAGTCTTCACTAGGAAAGAAAAGAAAGAGATAACAATGGCTGTCTCTTTATGTGTATGTGAAAGAGGAAAATTGCACTCTTTGCTATCACTTGGGAAAGCAACTGGATTGAAGCTTTCTTCCATGAAAACCAAGAGAAACTATATACGATTCTCAATTTTGTACTTTTTATATTGATTATAAAGACAGTCCTACCAACAGCGGAGCTCTCCTCAATGACCTGTTTTCCGTCTCTCCCATACTCCTCGGGCAAATTGTTCAGGTCCAATGGGTTCCTCTCAGGTCTCCTGCAAGCATAAAAGGCATCATAGAGGCAGATACAGAGATGCTTGATGGATATGGGAAAGAAAAGATGAGGAGATAAAGATTGGAACAACAATGATGGTTGTGGGTGCTTACATGATACCGAGACAGAGAAAGACTGAAAATATGAGATGAAAAACTTCAGACAGATGATAACAAAAGCTTGGGAAATTATAAGACTTCAGTTTGAGACTGCAATATAGAGGCTAGTTGAGTTAAGTTGGGGAAGGGAGCTTGAAAGTTCTCTATCAGTTTCTCTGCCAGCCGGTCTGGACTCTGGAGACATCCTCTCTCTCTCTCTCTCTCTCTCTGGGCCTTGTGACTTTTGTAAGTGGATGGGTAGGCAAGTGGTAGTGTTGTTTGGGTAGGTTGAGATGGGAAATGGGAGAGACGTTGGCTCTGTTTTGCCCTACAAAGGGCGAGGGCCATTCCCCTATTACTGATGGTATCACATCCACTGATAAATATAACTAATTCTGGTTTAATGTTTTGAATTACCTAAGAGCTATGAGCAAGTTGGAGTACACCTGGAATGAAGTGATATATTTTTCAATTTTTCATTGCATTTGAGACCATGTATTTATCATCTAGAGAAAATTATCATAAAAGTATATTTCTAATTCCCTATGCCAACAACGGATGATGCAGAAAATTCTTTTGTACTAATTTTCCTTATTTTTTAAATTGTGCCCATTAAATTCTTAACCTAGCACAAACTCCATTTTGAATGAGGTTATCCGAACTGAAAATGAACTTAGCCTTTTATCAAGTTATCCGAACTGAAAATGGAAAATTAATTAAAATAGAGTAAAAATAGAAAGAATAGGAATTGGAAAAACATACATTTGGGCTTTGTAAAGCAAGTAAGGAGAGGAAAAACAAAGCAAAACTCACTTCGTCTTTGACAGATGAAGTTAACATAAACCGTAATAACAAAGGTTAAATATAAAGAGGACCTAGTGGGTATAAGTTAATTTCCTGATTGTAAGTGAAAATTTACAAGTACCATACATAAATAATTTTCCCAAAATTGTATAGCTAGATTTATTTCAGAAATGTGAATAAAAAGTGAAATGTGGTTATTCAAAGAATTAATGAACATAACTAACTTTTATTGAAATTATTGTAATAAGACCTTCTAGATGATGTATTTAAACGATTTCTCATGCATCTGCTTCTTTTCTGATTTTCACTCCAGGCGTAGATTATATATATAAACACCTCTTTTTTTGGTTTCTTCTTCTATCCTAGTTAAGTTGATTCTGAATTCCATCTAGTTAAGTCAATTAGGTGAAAAATCATATAGAGAATTTCTAAATGAATCAAATTAGAGTGAATTTTTGCATTGATTGATGGAGCACTTGTAAATAGTTAAATGAAATAAATTCATATTCATCTAATTAAAATTGATTCACTAGGAGAGTGGTTAATGAGAATTAGAATGGTCTCTTTAGGAATTATTCAAGAAATGAACTATTTCTCAGCTTTACTTAAACTCAGTTTGTGAGTCCTTTTTAGAAAATGAATTTTTGCTGTCAAATGTGAAGAAAAACTAAAATGGACTGATTCCATTTTATTTCAAATACCAACCGAGTTGATCGTGAGAAACTTCTCCAAGTTATGCACCTTACTACCCTTTTGGATATCTTTTCGCCCATAACTAGTTTGGAATGAACTATAATAGTACAACTAGGGCAAAATCACTTTGTTATGAAATCAAACCAAATTAACTAATTTGCACAGTTTACTAGGTTTACTTTCCAATTCAAAGTATTAGGAAGCCCAACTAACTATACTATATGAAAGTAATAAGCTGTTTAGTTTGGGAATTAACGATAAAAAAAGAAAGAACTGGGGAGAGCCCACACATTTAGTATTTTTGTTACTTAAATTGCAGGTATCTGCTACATTAAAAAATAATAATAATATAAAAATTGGAATAAAAAAATAAAAGAAATTTTAAAGTAGTAATTAACAATGGTACAAAAATCAAACCACCCGGATGTTTGGCTAGGTTTCCACTATTATCAAATAGATAGACACCTTTTTCTTTTGCACCCTAAATCTATTCCAGGTGTAGAAGGAAGGGTGGGTGGCCAGCTACCTAAAATTCTAATGAAGCCTGAAAACATAGGTATAGCTAGAAGGGAAGGGGGTTTCTTTCAACCTTCTTTACCCCCTGTACAAATGCTTTTACAATCCTCACTCGAACCCAAATTACAAACTGGGGGGGGGGGGGNGGGGGGGGGGTATAGACCTGACCTCTGGGCGGACGCCTGACCATCCCAGCTATACAATCACACCTACTATGGGAGGGGATTACTCTGATGTTTGGGAGCGGTCATCTATCAGGTCGCGCATGCTCTTTGCATTCTCTGGGGAGTTCTTCTTCAGCTAGCACAAAAGATCTGTTAATGGGTTCCTCTTGTCGCTACCCCAATTACGTCTCTGTTGCACTCTCTGTACTCTCATCATCTCATTCCCACCGGTAAGATGCACACCATGGAGGTTGTGTAGTCTTGCTGCATAACAGGGACGAGTTCAATCAGAACCGTGAAGTTGGTTCTTGTTGTTGGCCTTTCCTTGGCGTGGGTTAACAGCGCCCGGCGGCCCCCATTAATTAAAGCACTATATAGGCCGGGGGATTTGCATCTTTACTCATACCTCCCTCTCTCTCTCCACACCTTAATTTGTCACAAGAACTAGTACTTGTAGTAAACTAGTGCTCGTTGGATTCTATTTGGATCCTTTTCACACAGCATTTGCATTTGGAGCACAAGGGGATTCCACCAGCCTTGTACGCTAGCTACCGGCGGTTTTCCTTTTAGTGGCTTCCAAAGAAAGTTTGATATCTTGAGGGGCAAAATGTTTTTGCCATATCCTCCACACCTAGCCCCATCGGAAAGGATTCTTTTTTTTTCTTTAGTTTTTCTCCTTTTCCATGCAGTTTTCAGTGTAACGGTCAATGGCGTCCACATTAATGAGTCCTTACCTTGGTAAGGTTTAATCTGATTCTCGATCTTATACCGCTTAAATAGTTCTTCTAGGGTTTGCTCGAATTCGTTAATTCTCCGATGACCATCACCGTTCATAAAAATTCCTGATTTGGAGGTTTGGGTTTGGGATGTTGCAGTGTAAAGTATTGCACTTGCTTGTTGTAATAAAGGACTGGTTCTGACCCAAAGTATTCATCCAGTCAATAGCGGATATGCAGCTTTATTTCTACTATATATCCTCCATCTGGAATTCGATTGGATTTCTGCCATTTTTCTCTTGGTAAGTTGGTATTCAATCACCGAGGTGACCCTGTGTCATTTCCACCACGAGTATAATGTACTTGGCATGCATGTCTCTTCTCCATGATGGGCTCTGTCTGTTAATAAATTTCTAAGATAACTTTAACTGCATTTCATCGGTATGTCGAACACCTAAGCCGTCCTCCTCCTGGTCCTGGGGTTTAATTTGCAGATCACTTCACCAACTGGTGCCTGCCTGATGCCCTCTTCACTTTCGCCCTAGAAAAAGGTTACTCAACATGGATTTTATTCTGCTTATTACACTTGTGGGTTTCTGATCAAATGGATATATTACACTCTTAAAACTATTTCTCTTTTAGTCGTTTGACATTCCAAATACTTTTTCACGGCTTAGAAAGCTTTAGTTAGTCTATTGGGGTCAATTTTCAATTTCAACCAAAACTAATATCATGAGAAACAAAGTGAAAATGGCGTTAATCACACTACTAGAGATTTTGAGTTGATTTGGTTTTATGTTTTGTAAGCTGGGTTGGAGGTTTTAATTGTGACATCATTATGTTGTTCAAACGCCGTTACATGAAGATTCAGTGCACCCCCACCCCTCCAAAAAAAAAAAAAGAAATCTGGACTGGTTTTGATTATCTCAGGAAAATGTTGAAGTGTTTTGAGAAGATAAAGATTCAGTATATCCCCCAGAACAGCGAATGGTATTACTCACAGATTGGCTTGCTTGAATTGTCCTGCTAGCTAGAAGGGAATAGTTGTTTGTTCCCCCTAACTGGCTCAGTTCGTTTCTCCTTGTTGATGGAATCGTTTTAAGCGTTGTAGTTGCAGACTGTTTCTGTGTTAAATGAATTTTCGTTTTTTACCCCCCTCCCCCCCCCCCAAAAAAAAAAAGAAGAAAAAAAAAAAAACCTGTCTGATGATGGACTGTCAATAAGAGAGTTTTTAACGCCTTAATAAAACAGTTCTTTCGGATTGTAGCTCAAGGAAACCTAGAAACGTACTTCTCTTTCATGGGAAATATTCGGCTCCGACCTGATCGGAGGACTTGCGTTCCGAGCAAATGCATTTTATAATTTTTTGATTTTAGGGTTAGGGCTTAGGACTTAGGGGTTAGGGTTTAGATACGAAAATCAAAGAGGTGGTCTGACGCGTTGGAAATTCAGGCATTCGCTTTTTTTGTCTTGGCAATTGGAAAACTGGAAATTCATTAACTTAACTAACCAAAAAAGAAAAATTCATTAACGTACTAAAGTCCAACAGGCAAAAGAAAAATAGGAGATAACATAATGCTACATCGTTAACTTTGATGGCATTTGAGAGAAAGAATACTAGTTATTTTAATTTTATCCCCTATTCCCTTCAATGTAAAAGTAGCGATTGAGATCAATGATGCCAGTGTACTTTACAAATTAAAATATTGGCAGGGTTTTGGATTATTATTGGTTGCCCAGAGTAATTTAAACTAAAACGAAGGTGCCTCAACAGCCTCAGGAGAGAAAGCAATGCCACGAATTTCCAGAGAAGGCAAAACCTCAGACAGAGGCAAGGCAATTGGCAAAGCCAAAGGCAGGTTCAGATCAGAGAAGGTAACACCGTGGCATCTCTCCCTGTGCCCCTGCTAGGACCAGGCATTGCAAATAATGAAAGCACTTTTAATTAAGGTGCATCCACAGTCCACACATCCTCACATCCTCAGAGGAGGCAACACCTGTGAAAAGCTATATATTTCTCTTTCAGCTTGCTTATGGAAGCTTAAAGTTCTCCTTTTGGATTTATCTGCTGAAAAAGAATCTTCCCTAAATCCTATAATTTTTCTTTCTCTTTCTCTCTCTATATATATCACCACTCTCAAGGGATTAAGAGATCTTGCTGAGTTGAACCTGTCTAGTTAGATTTTAGAAAGCATAGATAACCAGAGGCTCTTTCCTCCAATCAGCAACAATTGGATAAAGCTAGAGATGATGTATGCTTACTAATTTACTATGTTTGATGTCTCACATCCTCCTCATTACCTTTTAAGTCATCCTCCTCATTACTTAGTACACTAGTTATAGCGTCGAATCAGCAGATGGGAGACCCTTCAAAAGCAATTAATGTCATTGTTGCTTGGAATTTCCCATA